CGGCAGCGCTCAGACGTTTTTTTTGGTGTGGAGCTGTAACTGTACGGGTCAGGGATAGTACAATGTTACATTTACTGGCCACACCTCTGGGTGCTAACTTATAGGTGTCAGGCAACAAGCGCACGACCTGCATTACTTGGGACAGGTCACGCCGCTGATTTGCCTACACGTTTGACTCTGTTCCTCTGGTCAGGCAAAAGATGGTCCGCCTCTAGACCACTCTCATCTTCAGCCGTGTCCCTCACGTCGCGCCACACCCGTTTGACATGTTCCATTACCCGACCGGCATATGCAACATGTGCAGGGCTCATCGGTGTACACGGCTGTGCTGGCACCTTGTATGCGCTTGGCGAAGACGTAGTCACCCAGGGGAGGGATACTTCTCTCGAGTGTAATCGCAACAGGGAAAGAGAAATGGGGGAACAGTGGCTGTCTCCGCGCAAAACATGAAAAATCTGGTGAATCCTATGTTGACGGATACACACGGACAGAACCATGGTGTGTGCTCTGACGTCAAGGGAAGGTTTGGGCCAGTGCGCCATGCTTGCTCAAGTGTTCAATCCTGGTCTGTTCAACTGCGGTTTCTCTAAAATCCACCATTCCACTCTTGCAAGACATCCTTAAAATGTCACGTAAAACTTTGCATGCATTTCAGCCATTACTACACCGCAAAGGCACACCTCCTTGAGCATGCCTGCTGGCTCAGAACGGAATTCCACAGCATCGCCTGATCTGCGGACGTTGCTAAACAAGGTGAGCATATTCAACCCTACATATGGTTAGACGCTTTGATGAAACAGCGAAAGACATCTACCGATTTCTGATGTTTACAAGCGGGAATAAAAGGTACTCCCCACTGTGTAACTTTGTTGTCAGCCCTTGCAGTAAAGGGTGAAAAACCTGCCGCTTGCCCCAGGCCCTTTTTAGGAAAGGGCCAAACCCAATTTGTGATTTGGCGGAAATATGGGGATGAAAGACGTCATTCCCCTGTTGCACGTCCTGGAAAAACAAATGTGTTAAAAAATGGTTTGGGGGGTGCGGGAGACGTGGCGGGAAAAGATCTCAACCCCCACATGACCCCCGTTGGGGGGCAGGGCAGGAAGAAGAGGAGGGGGTGAAAAGGGGGACATTGGTGCTCAGGGGGGTTTTTGAGTGAAATGGGTGGTTTTTCCCTCAGCGGGCAGGGTTTGGTGGGGGGGCCCGGGGCATCTGGGAGAGGAAGGGGGGACAGGGGGGACCCCCGATTGGGGACCTGGGAGTATGCTGGGGGATGGAGGCAGGGGAGTCCCCCCCGCATTCCCCCTTTGGCACAAATGGCCCCCAGCCCTGCTCATTGCTTGCCTTTGCGACAGCCCCGAATTTTAAAAACCATCAGACAGGGGATGACTTTTGGCTGTCCACCTTTTTGGAAATCTCGTTCCCTTTAAAAAAGGGGGCCTTTTTTTACACCCGCTGAAAAGGGAGGCCAAAAAAAAGTATATAAAAAACCACCAAAGATCATTGGGGCCCTGTCTTTCGGCGCCAACTCCCCTCCTCAGACACTGGGGGCCCTGTGCGCCCGCGTTCCGCTGCCATGGCAGCAAAGGGGGGGGGTGGGGGTAGGGGGCAAATGGTAGCTCCAACCCGCAGCGGGGTGCCCCCATTCCCGCAGTGATTTTAAGAGTACTTTCTTCTCCACCAACGCGTGAGGAAACACTAACCGCCGCAGCAGCCCAGCACATCAGGGGGGACCTGGAGCAGGGGTCAAACACATTGGCTCGGGGGCCCACTTTGGGGCCCGCCCCCCTGCCAACCGAAGGGGGAAGGGGCAAATTTCCCCTTGACTTTCTGGGCAACAAAACTTGCCTTTGGCCCCAACTAGCTGAAAATTTGGCCCCCGAAAGGCCCGTTTATGCCCGGCCAGTAGCGTTTATGGGAAACGCGTGTTTAATGCGGCAAGGGGGGTTATTGTAAGCTCGCGGAGGAACGACTTTTCCACCCAAAGTGTTTGGGGGACCCCACGTTTGTGAAAATGAATCAGGGCCCTTGGGTTAAATTTTGGTATCAAACCACCCGGGTTTCCCGAAACAAAATGACTTAAAACCCGCCATGAATCTCCCCCCAAACATGTTATTTAAATTTTAACATAGGCCCTTTTGTAAAAGGCCCTTTAATTTAAGCTGGGTTTACCCCTTTGCCACTTGCCCCTTTGGGGCCCCCGTTAACCCCCTCCTCTTGCCTTTCTGGGCCCGGTCCAGAGTGTGTCAGGGTCCCCCGTAGGGGCCCCCCATTGCTTTCTGGGCCTTCAATTCCGACAAACTCCTGCCATTTTTGGGCCCCTTTCAGGTTCCTTACACTGTTGGTGGGTTCCCATTTTGTGATAGGGTGCTGTATGGGGCCCTTCCCTTTCTGTGGGTCCAAACCCCCACCCGGGGGCCTTTTGCCTCTGTCTGCTGTCCCGCTGCTGACGGGCCCCTTTCCCCTTTTTAAAACCCGGGCCCGTGTTTGGCTTCCGAATACCCGCTGCAGTCCCCCCCCACCCTGTGTGTGTCTCTGTCGTTGCTCACGCGGTGACGGCTTCCTTTTTAACCTAGGATGTGTTTGGCTTCCCAAAAACTGCTGCCCCACCGCCACCCTGCGCCCTGGCCTCTGTTTTTCTGCCACGCCTGGGTTTTTCCCCCTTTTTAACCGAGGCCTTGTTTTTTCTTTCCCAATACTGTGCATCCACCGCCCGCCCACTTTCTGCGCCAAAGGCCCCTAATCTGTCATGGGCCCCGTACCCCTCCTCATGCCCGCTGCCAGGGCCAGATTTGTCAGGGTCCCCGTAAAGGCCTCCCATTGCTGCTGTCTCCATCGCCACACTCTGCCCTGGGGCCACTTTCAGGTCTCCTAACCGCGGTGGGGTTTTATTTTGGGCAAAGGTGCGGGATGGGGCCCCCCATTGTGCCCGCCTCCACCGGGCACACTGTTTTCCACACTTGGTTTTTGGCCCCCGAGACCCGCCCAAAATTGGAGGGGGAAGTGTGCGGTGATTCTAAGGGCGACGGCCCCTCATCTGATGTTTCCCTACCCGGGCTGACAGTATTAAATTCTCCCTTCCCCCAGACTTTCCCAAAGGGGAAATTTTAAAATAAAGGTTTCAGTGTTTTTTGCACTAAAATAAAGGCTCTCTGAAGCCCAAAAAACAACCCCTTTTTTTTAAGTTAAATTCGCAGCCGAATATATTCGCCTCAAAAACAAAATTTTTTCCGCGAATTCGGCGAATTTTGCCCGAATCGAATTTTTGAATAAATTTGCTCCTTTTCTAATTTTTTAACAGAAAATAGAAAAAAAATTTTTTTTTAAATATTTAGTTTTTTGTTTTTTTTTAAAACCGCAAAAAATAAAAAAAACAGTGGAGATTCAAATACTGCAAAACAAAAGTTCTATTTGTGTGAAAAAATAAGTGTAATTTCATTTGAGATCTGTTGTTTGGATGACCAAGGCAACTGCCAGTTAAAGTAGCCACAGTGCTGAAATAGCAAAATTATTGGCCATTGATCATGAAGGAGATATAAACCTTTCTGGAGGTCTAAGTAAATCAAAGAGACAAACTCATAACAGAACCCCATTTCATAGTACTGCTTGTATATGTGTACAGGGAATTAACAAAAATGTTTGCAGAAACGACTTTGTAGAAATACTCTGTTTGTGCCACAGGGAGACTTAGAATTGTCCCAACATTTTCCCTTGGAGGATTTGTCAATATGCATTTGATTTGCTTATACTATTCTGTCTGGAAACCACTGTTTACTAATAAACTTATACTTCCATATTTACAACTAAGGTGTTTGGCTCATGAAGAATCAATCTCCACTTATGGACATAATAACACCTTTGGTAAATAGAGAAGGAAAAATGAGAGGGGGGGAGAAGAAAATAGTCATTTTTACACTTTATCAGTTACTAATTTAAATACCTGATTTAAAATTTTAATCTTGTATTACTGAATAACAAACCAAATGTTAAATTTATACAAAACAACGGTAGAGTACTATAATTGCACTACCCCCGTAGGTGCTGCTGTTTTTAAACTGATTGTGTCTCTCCCTCCAAACAATGCAGAGGCTGACCAGTCACATAGGCATCTGAACATTACACTACTGTCTCCATTAATCAGTCTAGGGTGATGTCTTTTTTAAAATGTTAGTGCTTGTATATCTTGTAAACAGGCAGAGGGGTTGGGGGTGATATGGAATACTCCAAAAAAAAGCTGACTTGCAACAGGAAGACACACTTCACTAGATAATATTTTTTTTCTTCTTTAAACAGTCTTTTAAAGCCAGGAACAAAGGAAGGTCAGAATTGAGACCCTGTAGGAGTAGCCTCAAAGCTACCGCTGGCACTCTCCAACAGTTAGAATAGGACACAGTCATTAGGATCCTGATGCACAGTGCAGTATTCACAATGTCCCAGGGCAGCTACACACTTTTCAGCTATTTCACCAGGCACTCTTCAATGTGTTCTCCAAACCAGATCCTTAGGCTGCATTCACACTTGAGCATTTTGTAGCTTGAAGCTCTCCAAAAATGCTAAAACTTAAAAAAATCCTATTGTTCTCTATGGTGCCTGCTTTCACACTCTGATCACATGAACAGCTACCATAGAGAAACAATTTGTATTTTTTTAAGTTTGAGGCAATTTTTGGAGCTTCAAAGCTACAAAAAACGTTTAAGTGTGAATGAAGCCTTAGGGTTTAAAACTGCTTATCTTAGACTCCAAAGGTACCGTATTTTTTCACTCCATAAGACGTACCTGGACCATAAGACGCTCCTAGATTTTAGAGGAGAAAACAAGAAATAAAAATTCTGAACCAATGGACTGCAGACATAGTACATGAAATGACCAGAGACCTACAGACATTAGTAACAGGGGATGACCAGAGACTGTAGACATAGTACAGCAGATGACCAGAGACTGCGGGGGCATACTATAGGAGATATAACCAGAGACTACGGACACAGTACAAGAGATGACCAGAGACTGCGTACATACTCCAGGAGATGACCAGAGACTGTGGACATAGTACAGGAGATGACCAGAGACTGCGGACATACTCCAGGAGATGACAAGAGACTGTGGACATAGTACAGGAGATGACCAGAGACTGCAGACATACTAAGATGAACAGAGACTGCGAACATACTACAGGAGATGACAGAGACTGCGGACATAGTACAGGAGATTACCAGAGACTGACCAGAGACTGCGGGACACAGTACAGGAGATGACCAAAGACTGCGGACACAGTACAGGAGATGACCAGAGACTGCGGATGTACTACAGGAGATGACCAGAGACTGCAGACATACTACATGTGATGACCAGAGATTGCAGACTTACTACAGGAGATGACCAGCGACTGCAGACTTACTACAGGAGATGACCAGAGACTGCAGACTTACTACAGGAGATGACCAGAGACTGTGGATGTACTACAGGAGATGACCAGAGACTGCAGACATAGTACAGGAGATGACCAGAGACTGCAGACATAGTACAGGAGATGACCAGAGACTGCAGACATACTACAGGAGATGACCAGAGACTGCAGGACACAATACAGGAGATGACTAGAGACTGCTGACACAGTACAGGGAGATGACCAGAGACTGCAGACATACTACAGGAGATGACCAGAAACTGCAGACGCAATACAGGAGATGACTAGAGATTGCTAACACAGTCAAGGAGATGACCAGAGACTGCTGACACAGTACAGGAGATGACCAGAGACTGCGGACATAGTACAGGAGATGACCAGAGACTGCAAGACATAGTACAGGAGATGACCAAAGACTGCAGACCTTGAGGAGGGGGGGGCAGGTACCCGAATTTGACAGGTACCCGCTCCCACTTCCACGGAGTTGTCCTCCCCCCTCCCTCCCCCGTAGTCTTGTGGGACGCGTGACAGGTCCCACAAGAGTATGGGGCCATTCACAAGTGCAGCGCTTCTCACAGTCACTGTCACAGCCAGGTGCCCACACTGAAGATGCCGCTGCCAGGGAGAGAAGAGTCGGCCGGTGAAAACAGGACACCGCTGGACTGAGGAGTAGGCACTTCTGCACAGTAGAGCCGAGGCGGCCGGCCTGGTATTCTAACATGGCGGCGGCAACGGGGGGAATACTCTCGGCCGGCCACTACATATTCGCATATCCATAAGACGCACAAAACATTTCCCCCTCCCCATTTTTTGGGGGGAAAAAAAAAGCGCATCTTATGGAGCGAAAAATACTGGTAATTAGAAATAGGCCCTCCAGCTCCACTATAGCTAGGACCTTGATGAACATCAGCAGAGCTGCCACAAAGGGGGCAACAGCCCCTGAAGCTGGGATCTTCTGCCTCTGGAGAGGAACCCCGGATGCTCCAGACCCCAGACTATTTACAGATATGTTCTTCTCCAACCACCTACTGGGCACACGTGCCCAGGGACTGGCTGGAAGCGCACATAAAATATTCAAGCTGCCCATTTGCCTCTCTCAGACCTCTATTTTATAGTAAGCCTCCAGAATGCAGACAGGAGCAATCAAAAACCTGCAGCCTGTGAAATCTAGAGCCCAAAGAAATCAATAACTACTCCAATGAATACAGAGGAGCCAAAAAGAATTGAATTTACCTATTATTCTAGCAACCTACCTAGGAGGTGCTAGACACTATTATAAATATTCCCTCAAGGTCTGTTCTAACAGGTCAAAATTATACGCTAAGCTCTGGTTTAGTGAGAAAGGTCATTTAGTAAAAATAATTTACTAATTATTTTTTAAAAATAGCTAGTCCCTCAACTCAATTTTTTTTCTTTGCCCAAAGACACATCAAATGCAATCGTGAAACATTTAGATGTCAGAGAGAAAAAAGGGTGGTGTCCATAAGCATGGCACAAATAATTACCATGGATCCCATGCATCCAAAACTCAGAAAAGATGGGTGGAAGTAAAGCTAGAGCAGCAGTCATAAGAGGGTCAAAAACTCATCATATACACTGCTGGCTGAAGCAGAGAAATCAATCTGCAGTTTTGGCTATTGTGTTCTGACAGTCAGCAACCAGGATACCAAAACAGTGCCTGCATCTGATTGGATGAAGGTGCTGTTCGGACTGAGAATTTTCTGCCTGGTTCTTTTGATAAACTGATGTTTGTCGAGGCAACAGTACCATCCACAAAATGGATTTTTGGTTGATGAATGAACAAAAATAGGCTGAATTTTGTCAGTGTATAGCCAGTTTAGGAATGGAAAGTCTACATGACTGTAATCTTCCCAGAAGTTGCCACTAAATTACCGTGAAGTGCATTAGCCCTGAGTAGGGATGAGCCAACTGTACCTAGAGTTCAGTTGGAGGTAGGTATCGTGAACATTACTGAAGTTAGTGCACCAAATCCAAACCCACTGAAATTAATGGTGGAGCCAAAAATAAAAAAAAGAACAGTAAAAGGCCATTTTTTAGGTTAACTGTCAAAAGATTGTCAAACAAATTTCCTGGTGGCTTGGGCAAAAAAAAAAAAGCTTTAAAATCCCATTTAGCAGTTAACAATTTTTAATAATGCTTAATGGTCAACATCAAAATTCCTGGGGGATCCTTGGAACCTGCCTCTAAAAGAACTGACTGTGATGGGAGTCACTTTGGGTGAGGGGCCCATGGAACACAGCTCACTTTAGAGAGGTGGGGAGACCCCTGTCTCAGCTCCCCATATCCCTCTTATGTGTAAGTCACCCTGTGCCTGTTAGGGGTGCAGGGTGCTATGTCATAATATTGTGTAGACATGTATAGGAGGGGTGGGGGGTTGTTCATTGTTTAATGCCATTTGGTTGTATCCCAATGTTCTATTGTGTGTCTTGCTTGGGAGCAAACTATTATGGGATGTATGTGTTTGTGTATTGGCTTGGTGGGGGGGTGTCTGCTGATGTGTTTCTTATTGCTAGATTTGGTTTGCCTCGCCCTGTGTCCTTATGCAGGGAGGGGGGAATTGTTCCCTTGAATGTATATATCTTGTGTCTGTGTTAAAATAAAGGAGTCTATTTCCTGATTTATTTCAAGACTGGTCTTGTCTAGTCTCGTATGGCCAGCGGTGGAGTCCGTGGACGGTGTTTGAACGGGAAAGCGGGAGTCTAACGGAAATACCCAAGTGCAGTTGGGGTCCGGTTCCGTTACACTGACCACATATGGTCATATTTAGATTTCGTTGATGATGCCACCAGGGAAACCCTACCCCTTTGTTTTTCTTTAGCAGCTAAGATCAGGAGATGTAATCTACGGTGAGTAAGCAGAGGAGCAGATCATCTTGGTGGATTTTTTACTTTTGGTGGGTCAGCTGGTGTACAGTACATTCATCATGACTGACATGGATGTGAATTGCTGCACAATGTGATTGATGATGGATGTACTGTACATTGTAGGACTTTTGTATTTTTGCTTTTTTTTTTAACCACCTCAACACAGGGCACTTTCACCCCTTTCCTGTCCAGGCCAATTTTCAGCTTTCAGGAACGTCGCACTTTGAATGATAATTACTCAGTCATGCAACACTGTACCCATATGAAATTATTATCATTATTTGAGACAGATAGAGCTTTCTTTTGGTGGTATTTAATCACCACTGAGTTTTTTATTTTTTGTGCTATAAATGGAAAAAGACAGTAAATGATGAAAAAAAAACGTGTTTTTTCTTAGTTTTTGTTATAAAATTTTGCAAATAAATAATATTTCTTCACAAATTTTAATCAAAATGTATACGGTTATATTTCTTTGGTAAAAGTAATCCCAATCAGTTATATTATTTGGTCTGTGTGAACGTTATAGAGTCCACAAGCTATGGTACCAATCATTGAAAATTGATCACACCTGATGTACTGACGTTATATGTAATTTCCTGAGGTTCTAACATGCCAGGATAGTACAAATACTTACCAAATGACCCCTTTTTGGAAAGTAGACAGTTTGAGGTATTTAGTAAGTGGCATTGAGAGTTTTTTTAATTTGAAATTATTTTCCATAATTCTTTGGAAAATGAAGAAATTAAATAAATTTGTGGGGGTTTTTTTCACAAAAATGTCATATTAACAAGTTATTTCTCACACATGGCAGAGGCATACTTGCAACTACATCCCAAAAACACATTCTGCTACTCCTCCTGAGTATGGCGATACCATGTGTGAGACTTTTTCCCAGCCTAGCCACATAGAGGAGCCCAACATCGAAGGAGAACCTTCAGGCGTTATCCACTTTAAGGCTAGGTTCACACCTATGTTGGTTGCGTTTGAGCCATTTCTGCCTTGCATTTTGCGTTGTGATTTGCATTTTTACGAGTTTTTGCTGCATTTTTTATGTGTTTTGCGGTTTGTTTTCTTTTTCTTTTTTTTTTTATTTTCTTGTTGCTAGGCAAATTTAAAATGCATAACACATCAAAAAGACAGCAAAAATGCAGCAAAAACGCAGCAAAGACGCAACACATGCTTTTCTGAAGCTTCCATTGAAGCCTATAGAACCAAAAACTAAACTTTTTGCATTAAAAAAAGTCCCTGACATTTTCCAAAAAATGCACTGGGTGAAAACGCACAGGTGTGAACATGTCCCATAGGAAATCATGTTAAATGGACTGTACTGTGTTTCGGCAAAACACAAAATGCTGCAGAAAACGCTTAGATGTGAACCAGGATGTCTTCTTAAACTATTTGTTTACAGGTAAAAATCTGTATTTTTGCTGAAAATTAGAACCCCCAAACATTATATATTTTTTATCAGAAGCCCTAGAGAATAAAATGGTGGGTTTGCTAATTTTTATGTCACGTTATTTGCGCATCGGTTTTTCTAACACAATTTTACACACTAATGCACTAAAGACAGTTAAATAGATTTTATTGCACACAGACACAATATAATACCCAATTTTTTGTAAAATATAAAACATGGGGTTGTGCCAAGTAAATAGATATATTTAAAATTGCCCACACTTGTGAAATGGTACCAAACTTCGGTCTTTAAAAATCTTCATAGGCAACGCTTTATAAGCCTTCACAGGTTACCAGTTTAGAGTTACAAAGGAGATCTGGTGCTAAAATTATTGCTCTCACTCTGATGTTCGTGGCAATACCTCACATGTGTGGTGCGATCACCATTTACATATGCATACGGGACCAAAGCACGCTTTACATTTTTTAGTAATTTATTCATGGGACACTGATACACTAGCAGATGTTTTTGTGCACTTGTACACTGTGAGAGATGTTGTTTGCCCACCGGTGGACACCGTCAGATGTTGATGTTGCAATGGAACACTATTGCAGATGTTTTGTGCACTGGTACACTGTGACAGATGTTGATGTGACACTGGTATACTGTGACAGATGTTGATTGGACACTAGTACACTGTGACAGATGTTTTGTGCACTGGTACAGATGTTGATGTGATACTTGGACAGGGAAAGATGGTGCTTGGTGTACTGTGTGGGGATGGCTGCAATCTGTATGTTCTCTGAATAGCTGAACACTAAAATCCTCAGCTATGCAGAGAGCTGTCACAGGCTTCAGCATCCTGGTCTCTCTTCCCCCGCACTGGGCTCAGTGGGAAGCTCTGACACAGAGACACGTGTCCCTGTTTACACTGAGTGATGGCTGAGATTGGACACAGCCATAACATGTTCGGGAGGGCAAATCACAGTGCCCATGTCCCGATCTGTGATATGCTGTGTCCGAGGGACACAGCCATCACAGGATTGCGCCGTTATGTGGCCCACATTCTGATAGAACATTCGGGAACATCTACTCAGAAGGGGAAAGCTCCCATCTGGCCAT